ATGTTTCCAATCCAAAAGATCTTCAATCCTCAAATCTCTAGCTCAATACCTGCACAAAAAATGAGGTGTATTAAGGTATTGTTGGCTAAATTTGGGTTAGTTATATCTGCACACAAAATGAACCAAAAAGAGAACAATTATATTGCAATGGTTCAAAGGATGAGTGGAATTTGTTCAATAAGTCTCATCCAAAAAGAGGTAAAATTGAGACTTAACAGTATATAAGTTGGGACAACACTTACCTTATAAGTTGATTTGTATGATTGAGTGTTAGACTTATAATCTACAATCTTAGAATTTAAAAGATTGTGTATCACATGTTGGAGGCATGAAAACAAATGCTTCGGATGAGTTCATTGTGAACATTTCAAAGTTGAAGAATTATTGATAGAATTTATAGTAATTTCTTTAATTTTTTTTGCAGGAAACTTTCCTGTGAATTTTTTTGCAAGAAGGTATTACCTACAAATAAAATATATTATCCATGAAGGTATTACCTACAAATAAAATTCCGCAAAAAAATTTGTAGGAACAACGTTTCCTGCAAATTTTTCATAAATATTTGCAGGTAATAAGAGAAATTCTAGTAGTGAAATATTCTTCATCATTGAATTTTTGTACTCAATAATAAACATTAAAATTGGAGAGTAACTCATGTGGAAGAGTCTAATCGTTAACAGAACTTTTTTTTTTAATCTAGTTAATGAATTTATCTTATTTTATTTTATTTTGATTTTTTAAAATTTTTTAATGTATTACTTTATTTGATTTTATGATTTTTGATTTGTAGATGTGATTTTGACTTTTTGAATTAATTTTAAAAAATTAAGATAAACTTAAAAGATAATTTACTTAATAGAAATTATTTAACTTAAATCACATAGTAAATGTATTAATTATCATAACTTAAGGTATATTGTAACACCCTAAATTTTCTTGTTGATTATTATTTATTAATTAAAAGGGTTTTGTAGAGGTTTGTATTAATTTAAAATTATTTATGAACAAACAAGATACAATATATAATCATTACAATACTATAAACATACTACAATTGTTCAAAGTATAATAAGCTAATACAATAATTCATTCATACGCGTGACTAGATAGCAAGATACAAGATATAAGCATAACAATAGTATGATAATATTACAATCTCTTACATATAACAAGGTTTATTTTTTAATTGACATCACATCACAAATTCGCATAATAATAACAAGATAATACAATGGATCATTCACATGTATTATGTAACGGACACAGAGTACATTTAATCATGCATGTGGCACTAGTTAAAAATATCGTTTGGTGTATTACTTTAAGTAATATACAGAGTAGCCAAAGAGTATATGTCAAGTCACACCCTCAATACACACTCAATATGAGGATATACTACGTCATGAAAAAAAAACCACGTCATGAATAATGTAACATTGTTTTGCATGACCAAGAATGTAACTGAGGTTTATAATGTCGATGACGAAGAGTTCGACCTCGTTGAGACCATTGATAGCAGAGGTGAAGGTAGTAATTGAGGAGGGGGAGAAGGGAAAGGGGCCCAAGTTATATATATTCAAATTAATATATAAAATATCTTTATAATTATCTGTCAATTGAATTATTGAAACGAAGTAACAAATAACTTTTAATTTTCTTAAAAATTTGTATACTTATTTTATATATTATAAACTTTTAATTTAATGGTTAGATCGTTAAAATTTAATGTAAAATATGAATTATTAAGTGGAATAAATCTTCTAAGACTTACTCTTAGAATAAATGAATCATTTCTCATTTTAAAATTATATGGGTACAATTTTTTTTCTCTCACTTTATCTCTAGTATTTATAGAAAGAAAATTAACTCAAAATAAAAATATTGTTGTTGAAGCTTTTGGAATGGGGAGAGGAGTGTTGTGTTTAGTTGAATTAAAATTTTGTTTGCGTAAAAAATTCAAATCGATACAGATTATATTAAAAAGTTTGATTTATTTAAAGAAAAAATGCAATCTGTTTTAATAAAGTAGATTAATTTAATTCAATTTAATTTTTATTTTAAATTGATCCATATTTTTAAAAATTAAACAAAATCACTTTATAAAAAATAAATTTAATTTTTATTTTAAATTGATCCATATTTTTAAAAATTAAACTGAATCACTTTATAAAAAAAATAGACCGATCAACTTTTATAAAATATAAGTTTGAATTTTTTAAAAATTTGATCCATAAATTTATGCAAATTTGTCTTGGTTGCTTCCTTGATAGACAGTAGGATGGCAACGGGGCGGGGCGGGTACGAGTTTCATGATACTCGTCCCCGTCCTTGCGAGTCAAACTCATTCCCGTACTCGTATCCGTCGGGTATGTGATTTTTATTCCCATCCCCATTCTCGTCGGGTATTGGGTATACCCGTACCCATCAAATTTTTTATTTTTATTTTTTGTAAAAATATGATATTTTTAAATTATTTTTTTATTATTAGTAACTACAAGACATTCAGACCAAACAAAACATGTATTAGAAGATAATTACTGGTACTTATTGATTGTCATCCCAAACTTATTATCATTATTTGTTTCTTGGTAAGAAAATGTTATTATATTTTTTATTTAACAATATTTTAATATTTTATGTTTTTAATAGTTGTTCTTGATTTTATTAAAATTTGTGTTGTATCGATATGTTGTTAAGTTGTTGAGAAACTCTGAAATTAAGTGATTCCTTATGAATTTTAGGTGTTTAGAGGGTTCTCTAAATAAAAGTTTGATGTGATCTTAAGGGGAGAAATATATAAGATTTTTTTTAGAAATTGAGTCGCATAAACTCATTTATCAGAAAACCTTAAAGAGATTCTATAGAAATAAATTATAAAGTACTAATTCTTCTTTTTTTTTTTTTCTTTCTACAATCCTTGAAGGTGTAGAAGATCCCTATTGATTAGTTGAGTGGCAAATGACAATCCAAAGTTGTTGAAGCTAAGGATTAGTGCCGGTGCAAATCTCATATTTCCTCTTCTTCTACCTCGATTTGGTTCGACCTCAAGGTAATGAAAGCTAGAAATTGGTCAATTGTTGATTTATGAAGTTGTATGTTGTTTGATTTCATGGAATTCATGGTTGTGTGGATGATTGAGATGAATTTGTATGTTGTTGAGTTTTGTCTTTCTTAAACATATGGAAGTGAATTTGGTGAATCTGGTTCTATGATGGTTGTAAGTTGATTTTGAGGTTGGACTTTAGTTGTGTGAAGTGTTTATTTGTGTTATCTTGTGTTGCATGTTGGAAATTATTTGGATTTTAGGTGGATTGAGCAAAAAAAAATGTAAATCTGCTAAGTGTAAAATTCATATCACGTCGGGTGCAACTTCAAAGTGTCAAGTGTTACTCATGTTAGAGACTCTCTACCTCACTTACACCAGGTGTAGGGTCTGTGGCGTCGGGTGTGAATTAGGGAGAAGTCTTTGTCTTGGTCACAATAAGTGAGGTTTTTGGTTCGATAATGTCAAGTCACTTAAATTGCTCACTTGTATTATAAGAAATCTCTTATTTGAAATATGTGACGACACATATAGTTATTGTGTTGTGTATATGATGTATTGACTGAGTTGTATTGTTCATATGCTATATTGAATTGTGATGAAATGCATTAAGGCGTTGTATGTTGTTCAAGTTGGAAAAACATGTTACAATATGTTGAAAAGTTGTAAGTTAATATTGTGTTGAAGTAAGTTGAGTTGTTTATATTGATAGTATAATTGCTTTTACTTCTATATTGATTATGTTGATTCTTTAAAGCTTAATTTATCCTTACATGTTTCCATGTGGTTGGATTAGGATGATCGTATTTGGCATGATAACAAAACAGAAATAAGTTATTTAGATGGAGTTCCTTTTGAGGTTGTTTTGGTGTTGGCAGTGGTGATCTTTCGAAGTTACTCTTGTGTAGAGATATTAGTTATTTTTAGTAAGTTTGACCAATTATCAGGATTTTTATTTGTATCTGGATTGTTGTATATCTTTATATACTTGTATAAAATTTTATGTCTCTAGTTGTTGTCAAAGTTCTTATATGTATATATTAATATCTATTTTCCATGTAGTCCTTGAATAATAATTTTTGGTATCTAGTTATGTATGTATTTTTATTACTAGTTGTGAAGTGTGGAAATCTAGTAGGTTGTTACAATTTTTCTATGTATCAATTAATAATAAGTAAACACAATTTTAATTCTCACTTGAAAACATTTTAACACTTAATTTTTATAAAATTTTACGTTGTTTTGAAATATAAGAAAATATTTCTTTTAGTAGTAAAAATTTGATTAAATTATACATCCAATCTCTTATAATATTTAAATCACAATTTTAGTTACCAAACTTTATTATATCTTTGATTTTATTTCCCTAGTTAAATATTTCTATGCTGGCTTATAAATTTATAATATTAATTATGATCCAACATTAAATGATGATATAATGGTTAATATTTAACAATATTTAAACTAAATTATACTTTTAGTTTCTATTCTTATCTTATTTTACAAATATGATAAAAATAAAATTTGAAAATAAAATTTAATAATTATCATTAAAATTATAAAATTTACCATAATATAATATTAAATAAATAATATGATAATTAATATTAAATTAAATTTTATGTTTAAGTTCCATTTTTATATAATCTAACTTAAATATTATATAATTAATGTGATATCTGGATCAACTTACAAATTTTGGATGAAGAGATGAATCTTGGATGAGAAGATGAGGATTAAAAATTGAATAAAATTGAAAGAGTAAATTAGAGAAATAAATATAAGAAAATAAAAATACGAAAAGATAGTAATAAAGTAGAAATGGTCCAAGCATTTTGGCGAAGTAGTAAAAGAATGTGACAGATTGCATGAGCAGGGTGATGATGATGTTGAAGAAAAGGGGAGAGAGAGAGAGAGAATCTAGCCTCGAGAGAAAAAAAAAAAAAAGAAAAGAAAAGAAAAGAAGTAGAAAGTAGAAAGTAGAAACCTGGAATGGCTCACTCTTAACCATTTACAGTAATAATAAATGTGGGTAAACAAAAATCACTTTCTCACACTTCGCATGTCTTCCTTCCTCAAACCTCTTCTCTTCCAACACAGATTCGATTCCTCTCACGTAACAACCGCCATTCTCTTCGTTGCTTCCCAATCTCCTAAATAAACAACGTTAAAAAAACTAAGTAAAAAAAAAAAAGAAAACACAACACACCAATGTCCAACACAACGCAGCAACAGCAACAGCAACCACCCAGTTTCGAATCCAAACGACTCGATCCAGCCTCCAACGTCGCCGCCGCCGCCGCTTCCCGCCCCGGCCACCGGAGATCGGTCTCCGCCGGAGCTCCGTTAATCTACTCCGGCGGCGCCACCTTGCTCCCGAGCGGCAACATTTGCCCGTCCGGGAAGATCCTCAAACCGGTTCTGCCCTCGCGGGGACCGAACCGGACCGACGTGCTGGGCTCCGGCACCGTAAACTACGGCCGCGGCAGCATAATGCGCGGCGGAGGCGGCAATCCGGTGGCCGCGGGCGCATCGCCGCTTACGGTGAGGCGCGCGCTGAGCGGCTCCGATCCCGAGGAGGCGCGGAGATTGGGGAACGAGCTGTACAGAAGCGGCAGCTTCGCGGAGGCGCTGGCGCTGTACGATCGCGCCGTCGCCATCTCGCCGGGGAACGCCGCGTGCCAGAGCAACCGCGCGGCGGCGCTCACGGCTGTCGGGAGACTCGGCGAGGCCGCGAGGGAGTGCCTTGAGGCTGTGAAGTTGGAGCCTGCTTTTGCCAGAGCGCATAAGAGACTTGCTTCACTTTATCTTAGGTAACGCTGTCACATGAAAATTTGAATTTGGATTTGAGTTTGTTGACATTGGGATTTTGAATTTGGTGTAGGTTTGGACAGGTTGAAAATTCGCGGCGGCACTTGTGTCTCTCTGGGATTCAAGAGGATCAATCTGAGGAGCAGAAGCTGTTGTTGTTGGAGAAGCATTTGAACCGCTGTGCTGATGCAAGAAAATTTGGTGATTGGAAGAGGGCGCTTAGGGAATCAGAATCATCCATTTCTGTTGGATCATATTGTTCTCCTCAGGTACTTTTCGAATTTCTCGTTTTAACATTGTTTATGTTAGACATGTAATGTAGAATATAAAATTGTTCACGTGTCTTCAGTTGGTAGCCTAAAATTTTAGGATTTTTAGGATTGTTGAGGTGTGATTGATTTGTTTCCAAAAGCTGTTTGGAGTTTTCAAAATGCAACTAAACAAGGTTGCTGAGAAAGCTGGTGGAGGGTGTGGTGCAAGGGATAGAGCGGAGCGTGAAACTCAAGACAAAAACAGAGGAAGAAGATGAGAAGAATCGATATTTTTGGTTTTTGGTTTTTTAGTTGTTTTGGACGAGAAAATGATTGGTATGTAATGTGAAATTATTTTAGAATCAAAACGTGAGAAGAGAATCAAACAGGTCCTTAGTTTGTGGTATGGTATTAGAGCCTCTAAAATAATTCGTTGTCGCGTCTTTACTTGATAGTTTAAGCTTTTAGTGATGATTTCTGTTGGGCTAACTTGTTGGATTGCTACTTACAGATTGTTGCTTGCAAGGCCGAAGCTTATTTAAAACTGCATCAACTTGAGGATGCTGAATCCAGTCTCTTGAACATTCCGAAGTTGGAAGGCTGTCCTCCAGCATGTTCTCAAACCAAGTTCTTTGGTATGGTCGGTGAAGCCTATGTTCCTTTTGTGTCCGCGCAGGTTGAGATGGCCATGGGAAGGTAAGCAATAAACACTTTAGACCCAAAGTTCATAACTAAATAAAACTCGAGTGAGGAACAAGTGATGGATACTTGCAGGTTTGAGAATGCTGTTGCGGTGGCAGAAAAGGCTAGCCTGTTGGATTATAGTAACATTGAAATTAGTAGGATTGTAAATGTTGTGAAAATGGTGGCAAGAACTCGTTTGAGAGGCAATGATCTTTTCAGTTCTGGCAAGTTTTCTGAAGCTTGTTCTGCTTATGGAGAGGGCCTCAAGTATGACAACTCCAATTATATTCTATATTGCAATAGGGCTATTTGTTGGTCTAAACTTGGCCTGTGGGAACAATCTGTTCAAGACTGCAACCAAGCCCTTAGCATTCAACCAAATTACACCAAGGCCCTTTTCCGCAGGGCTGCGTCAAATGCAAAGGTAAATCCACTTGTACTGTGCATGTTGGGTTTGTGTGTGTGTTAATTGTTATTTTGTTCGCCGAAGTTGATTCATCGTAGTTTTTTAAGATGCATGATCTTGTTGCAGCTTGAAAGATGGGCAGAAGTTGTTAAAGATTACCAGGTCTTAAAGCACGAACTCCCTAATAACAATGAAGTTGCTGAGTCTCTTCGTCAGGCTCAACTTGCATTGGAAAAATCTCGGCTAGTGGTATATGGTACTAAGTTTGGAGTTGAAGTTGAAGAAATCTCTGCATTAGATAAATTTAAAGCCGCGATTGCTTCCGCTGGTAATGATCTAAAAGTTTTGACTGTTGACTCGCCATTTTTCTTCCTTCAGTCATGCATTTTTAATGAAAATCTGAAATTTCAGGTGTTTCGGTAGTTTATTTCAAAGAGGCATCAAACGAACTATGTGAGGAATTATCTCCATTCATAAATACGTTGTGTGTTAGATACCCCTCTGTTAAATTTATCAAGGTACACAAATAAGTGACTTGTTTGTACTTTCTAACATAATTGTTAATCCTACCTAACTTTCTCTGAAATTTAATTGCAGGTGGACGTGGAGGAGTGTCTAGTAATAGCAAAAGCTGAAAGCATAAGAAGTGTTCCAACTTTCAAAATTTATAAAAAAGGAGAGAAGGTGAAGGAGATGATCCGGCCAAACCATCAATTATTAGAGGACTCAGTAAGGAAAAGTAGTAGTGTCTAGATACTAGAATTCATCATACTCATTTATTTGCATTCACATGCAACTAAAAATCATAGCAATATTGAAGAAGGTGCTCCAAGAATGCACCAAGCCCTGTTTAGTTAAATTAGGAATTTCAGATTTGCCTGTGATACACACACATGGATACCAAATTTCCGCCGTGGTTTTAGGCAGGAAAACCTCAGAGATAGGTTTTAGATAGCATTTTGAAAGCATATATGTATATCTTTTGGCCCAGCATCTAATGTGCTTGCTATTTCCTTCTATATATCAAGCCCTAAAGTGTTGTACTTCTTCCCTCCATATCTTTCATTTTGTTGCACAAGGCTTAGTAACAATGCTGCAGTAACACATCATTGTATTAGATTTAGATCACCTTAAAAAAAAAAAAAAAAAAACTGTCCATGTTGATTTTGCCAGAGGAAAAATTTGATGCTGGCTTTAAACACTTGCACTTAAAAAACAAACTGTAGTCCTGAACAATGCATGAAAACTATATATACAAAAAGCAACTCACAGTGCAAAACGCTTACACACGCAAATTCAACAAAATTTGTTGAATTTTAGTGTGTGAAACACACATTAAATGGTGGTCCATGCAGACTTTAGAATATATAGTCGAAATAACTCGAATTTTCAGTTGGATCGACGCGACTATATTTAGGGTGTTTGGTTACGATTAAATAACGCACGTCTACTGCATTAATACCATATCCAACTCACGTTATTCTCTGTATGTAACTTCTCGATTTCACGAATTGTACTCACGTTTCAGATACTCATAAAAACATTCTCACCCAAAAAAAAAAGATACTCATAAACACGTACGAAATCAAAGACGCCCTGAATACTTGAGTACTATACTGTGCTTCAAATTATTGAACTGAACCCCGTAGTTCAGCAATAAAGGTTAATTCATGCTTAAGTAAGGTCAGGAGTTTGAATCCTGTCTTGTGTATGCAGTCGCGTTAAATCTTGGGGTCAGCTATCTCACTTTTTGAGGTGTTTCTAACTGGCGGTGGATACTTCAATGACAAAAAAAAAAATAAGATTATTGGACTGTCTTCTGTAAAAAATAATACTTGTATAAGATAAAAATAAAAATACTATTATGATCCATCTAACTATAAGGGACCATTTGATCTATAATAATTAAAATGTATTAGCACACCTCTGTTTTTTCTTGAATTTGTGAGACGTCAATAGTTCTCGAAATTAGAAAATATCAACTAAAATTTTCAAATTGAAATTGTTATTTATGTTAGTCCTTACGTACGATTCATTAATTCCGTTAGAAATCATAATGATTGTAATTATAGAATTTAAAGACTATAATAATAATAAGCTGTAGATTTCAGACTAAAAGTGTGTTTGTTTGTTTGTTGAGGGAGAACTTTTTGGAAGAATGCGTGTCTTGATAAATCAAAACCAGACATGTATTAACACGACAGTAATTTCAATTTTAGATATTTATTTGATGTTTTTTTTATAAATTCAGTAAATATATTTATTTTTTTTACAATTATTTTAATTTAAATTTTAAAATATTCTTAAAAATATTTAAATCTAACCAAACTTATTTTAAAATGTAATTCCTTCTGTTGGGGCAACTCGAAGACGAACGAGTCGAAATATTTGCAAGATTCCTCGAAAGAGATTATAAAGGCACGCGTCTACCAAGGAACGAATGGGTAATTGTTTGAAATGGGACATTCGATGTGCTCGAAAAATAGTAACATGGTGCAAAGTACTTACGGTCATACAAGGAGAGTTAACGACTGGGTCGAGAAGTTAATTTACGTGAGATAAACGGTTATGATTAAAACCACGTGGTGAGCATAGTGGGCAGCGGTTATCCCCTAATGATGTACGTGCATGAAATTAACTGCCCCTAATTAATTCTATAAATACAAGTACTACGCACCTTAACAAAGGTCGGAAAC